TTAATGATTAACTCTGATATATCCATCAACACTGAAATATATGAACCAGGACTAGGCATGGTTCAAGTGGTAGAGTACCAAGCCAAACAGGCAAGCTGAATGCACATTAAGACCCTGAGTTCAAACCCTAGCACCCAAATACATAAATAAATATTTATTGTAGAACTGGGTGTCAGAGGCTCATGCCTATAATCTCAGCTACTCAGGAGACAGAGATGTGAGGATCTCAATTTGAAGCCTGTCCAGGCAGGAAAGTCTCTAGACTCTAATCTCTGAATAGCCAGCAAAAAGCTGAAAGTGGAGCTGTGCTAGTCTTGAGCAAAGTAGCTTAAGGACAGTGCTTAGACCCTGAGTTCAAGTACTGGCACACAAATACACACACACACACACACACACACACACACACACACACACACACACACACACACACAAAAAAGGGAATAGATATGTTAAGGCTCAGGATAGAAGGGAAGAGTGTACGCTTACATGTACACGGCCCCAGAACACACACACACACACACACACACACACACACGCACACTCACACACACAGTACTTTTAATTCAGACAGAAAAAATGTTCAGAGTTCAAATCCTGGCCCTACCACTTAGGATCTAGGGCTAGGCTAAATAGCAATAGAGGAGAGACCCTACAAACTACCTAGTCTGGTACTTTCAGTGTAAATAAAATGCCATCAAGTTCCTTGTTGATTAAATAGTGAATAAATTATTGCAAATTGTATGTGCGTGCATGTGTTTGTGTGTGTGTGTGTGTTTGTGTGTGTGTGTGTGTGTGTCCTAGAATTGGGGCATCATGTGCTCACTTGGCTTTGTTGACTCAAGGCTGCTACTCTTCCACTTGAGCCACACCTCCATTTCCAAGTTACTGTGTTTTTGATTCCCTTGTTCCACCTGAAAGAACTTCTCAAATAGAAAAAAAGAGGCTGACTGGATCTAGTAGTAAGACTGTGCTGGATGCAAGAAACAAACACAGTCCATAGCACTTTGAACAAATAAATACAGGCTATTTGTCCTTGCACAGTAGGAGGCCTGGAAGTGGAGAGCTGTTGCTGTGGATGCACTGAGAGGCAGAATCTAGCAACCTCAGGCTGGCTCACAAGATGGTTAGCCCAGGTCCAACCTTTAGGATACCATTGAAGTCAGAAATTGAAGAGAAGCAAGTACTTTTTGCCTTCGTTTATGTTGTCAGATAAAGATGGACATTTTGGCCAGGCCAGTGTTGGACTTCGATACTCCTATTTCCACCTTTTGCATAGCTGGATTACAGGAAAATACCACCATACCTGCTGGAGGTTTAGGTGTCTGTGATCAATTCATGTCTTAGAAACAGTTTTGCCAGGCAGCTGAGTATATTGGCTTAGGGTTCGGGCAAGTGGTCTGAGATTGCAAGGGACTGTTCTTCAGGGTGAGTTAAGAGAACCCACCTATAAGGTGTGACATGAGCAAAACAAGGGGAACCAGCCAGACTTCAAAGGAATGCTGAAAGAAGAGCGGGCTGAAGGGACTAGAAAGACAAGAGGAAAAAATCAAGAGCTTGTTGACTCCTAGAGTCAAAGGGAGAAAACTATGTAAGAAGAACAAGGTCAGTATCAAGAGTGACCCCCCCCCCCCCAAACCAGGAGGCATTTCAATGGTGGCTTTGCTTTCAGCTTCCCCTGTAGTGAGGATAGAAGCTAGTCTAGCCTGAGGGAGGAGGCAGAAAGCAAGGAAAGTAGGACACAAAGGTGCCATGCCTATGTGCCTCTGATCACACAACATAAGATTTATTGAAATGAACTTCAGCAAATGGAAACAAGGTTATTTTCTTTGGTGCAGTTTTCATTTTCTTTTCTTTTTGTCTCATTTATTCCATGCCTTTGGGAGGGTCAGGAGGGGACACAGACATGGATAAAGGGTAAACAATTGCAGCAGTGGTCCTCACTGGACACTATGTTGAAAATGAGCTGTACAGCTTGTGGGTGGGGATGAGAGGGAAAAACTGGGAGAGAGCAAGAGAAGAGGTGACATTGTCCAAAAGGAAATTCACGCATTGCCTGATGGAGGTAACTGTGTATCAGCTTTATAATAACAGTAAAAATATTTTTAAAAAAGAATGCAGGAACAAGTTACTTTTTACTTATTTTTGTTTTCTGAGCTCATATTTTATTATATCATCATAGCATAAATTTTTAAAGGAAGAATGGAGAGAGCTGGGCTGCCAGTGGCTCACACTTATAATCCTAGCTAATCAGAAGCCTGAGATCTGAGGATTGAGACTCAAAGCCAGCCTGAGCAGGAAAATCTGTGAGACTCTTACGTTCAATTAGCCACAAAAGCCCAAAGTGCAGCTGTGGTTCAAGTGGTCCCCTAGCCTTGGGCAAAAAAGCTCAGAAATGATGCCCAGGCCTCGGCTTCAACCCCAGGACTGGCACCACAAAGAAAGAAAGGAAGGGGAGAGATTGAAAGAGAGAGAGAGACAGACAGACACAGAGAGAGACAGAGACACAGAGAGAGAGACAGGGAGAGACAGAGAGATATTAAATTTTATTTTTTGGTCTCAGCAAGGCAAAATTTACTTCTGCAGAATGGTGCACCATCAGCCAGAAATCTGGCAAAGGAGCACACAGGGCAGGCAGGCTGCTCTATTTATCCAAAGGCAGAGGCCCTGCCCCTCTGCTCTGATTGGTTGAGTTCAGGTTCACAGTCTGCTTGGGATTGGATAGCTTGAATAGGGTAAACTGTATTTACATAAGGCGATTCTTTGCAATAACAGTTTATAAGTAGCTCAAAATATACCCACACCCTCTGCTGTTTCTTTTTTCTTTTTAATTTAAAGCAATGAGTACATTTCTTGTTCAACATTGTTACCCCCTCCCTCGTTTTTCTTCCATCCCCCCCCACTCCCACTCCCATCCCTCCCCCAGTTGTAAAGTTCATTTCCAACATAGTTTTGTGAGTATCACTGTTGCATTGGTTCACTCTTTGTCCTTTGTCTCCATTTCTTGAAAAGAGACCGGTTGAAGAAAGCTTACATTGCAAACATTCTTTCTTATCTAAATTTACCTTCCTGAACAGAACCAAATGCGGAGTGTCTGGCCCTCCTACCTTCCAGAGGTCCAACAATCACCGGGTTCATCTCCCTAGAATAAGTATGCTAGGGATGAAATGCTCATGAGACCAGGTACCATGCCTGGCTTCTGAGGAACAGGGTCTGGACAGGATTAACACAGGCAGCCTGTCTGGGCATCTCTTTGATCTGGTACCACCTATAATTCCAACTTTTCCAGGCACTGTTATTTATTTATTTAGTTAGTTATTTTGCCAGTCCTGGGGCTTGAACTCAGGGCCTCGGCACTGTCCCTGAACTTCTTTTGCACAAGGCTAGTACTCTACCACTTGAGTCACTATTCCACTTCTGGCTTTTTCTGCTTATGTAGCACTGAGGAATCGAATCCAGGGCTTCCTGCATGCTAGGCAACCATTTTACCACTAAGCCACATTCCCAGCCCCTTTATTGTGTGTGTGTGTGTTGTGTGTGTGTGTGTGTGTGTGTGTGTGTGTGCAAGCACACACATGCACGCCAGTGCTGGAGCTTGAACTCAGGGTCTAGGCGTTGTCCCATAGTTTTGTAACTCCAGGCTGGCTGGCACTCTAGCACTTCATGTACAGCTCTACTTCTGGCTTTTTTTTTTTTTTTTAAATTGGGGCTAAGAGTCCCTTGTGGATGTTACTTCCCAGGCTGCCTTTGAACTTTGATCCTCTTATCTCAGTCTCCTGAGTAGCTGGGCTTAAAGGCATTAGGCACCAGCGCCTGGCCTGAGGCCCTTTATTTAGTATATTTTTACATGGATGAATGTTATGAAAAATAGAACTGTTACGTGGAAATCAAAATGGCCCTTTTGTTTATTTTTGGTAGCTTGTATTCAGATTTGAGATGTTAAAATATTTGGAACCCGTATAAAATGTATTTTCCTATTGGATCACTCAGATTCAGAACATTTGATGTCAGAAATTATAAAAATAAGAGACTTCTAGTAACATCATATGCAATTGGCTGACCGTGGGATTCACATTCAGTTTTGAAGATCAGCAGAATGGAATAAAATGAAACACGTTTAAATTTAATTTACCCCAAACCTTGCCCAAACCTCCGTCTTTGTGTCTCTGTCTGACTTTTGTCTCTGTCTTTTATTCTTTATTCCTCTCCTTTTCTTCAATCTTCCTTTTTCTCTCCCTCTCTTAACCCCCCTCCATCCCTTCTTTCTTCTCTAAACACTTATTCTAGTTCTGAGAAGTACTTTTTCAGAGTGGGAACTCTGTGTGTGTGTGTGTAAAATGATTGTGCCCCCCCCCCTTATGTGATTAATTCTGCAGGCTGAAGATAGAAAAATAACCATCTCGGATCACTTTCTCTTCCTCTCGGTCGCTTTCATTCATCAATGTGGAAAATCTCCAAATATTTATTGGGGTGAACCGGTCCCCCCCGTCCCGGGCGCGTCCTCGGAGCTCGTATTTTAGGACCTCGCGCGTGGCACCGCGTTGAGAACCTCCCCGTGTCCTCTCCCTATTTATAGACAGATCCGATCCCTCTTTCAAGTGCCGGCATTCCAGCTGCAAAAGCCAAAGAAACGGTGCTCGCCCTTCCTTGCCCTGGCCACCACCCCTCCCTCTCCAAGCCCATCTTGACCCAAAATGGGGACTTGGGCTCGGGTGTGACTGCGCTCGCCTTTCCCCCCCCCGGCGTGGTGGGCTGAGCTAAGTGTGACGCCGGAGTGGGCCGAGTCCCGCACGCGGGGAGTGCCCCCGACGCCCGGCCCCGCGCCGTCTTAGCCGCGCGATTTCACCGCCGCGGAGCGCGCGCTGGGCACTCTCCGTGCGCCCCGGTCCCGCGTGGCTGCCCTGCGTGCCAGCCAGCTCCCGGAGGTGGAGGTGGGGGGTGGGGGGTAGGGCTCAGCCTCCACCGCAGCCAGGCTTCCCGAGACCCCTCCCCGGGGGAGCACCATGGGCACCGGGGATTTTATTTGCATTTCCATGACTGGAGGGGCGCCCTGGGGCTTCCGGCTCCAGGGGGGCAAGGAACAGAAGCAGCCTCTACAAGTTGCTAAGGTAAGAAGGACCAGAAAGAGGGGTGAGCATCGCCTGGAGCTGGGCGGACGGGCAGAACCCCGACCTGCTGCTGGCTTTCCAAATATGCAAATCCATGGATTCATTTGCTTTGAGTGCCACAGACTGAGTTTATTTAGGATGTGGGTTAGCTGCAGAAACATGTTGGATGGGGGGGATGGGATGGGTGGGAGAGGGGGTGATATTTTTTTTTTTAGCTGAAGAAGGCCCTTTATCATCTTCCATGAGCCCGCCGGACACTGGGAAGTATCTTGCAGGCACTATTAGAATATTCCCTTGAGTTCTTGCTGTGTCACTTTTTTTTTTGGGGGGGGGGCACTCCGTTCAGTATAACTTAGATATTTTGAGGCCTCCAATAAAAGTGTTGGTAAGGGACATTGCTTATCCTGCATGCGCGAAAAGACCAATTTTGGGCAACGACTTTTAAAAGTATGATGAAATGTCATAAAGTCTATTTAAAAGAATGGCCTTTCAAAGAATAATAGCCTTTTAAGGATTTGAAGGGGAATGCAAAAAGCCAAGCAACTGTGTGTCTCCGTTCTGTGTATCACAAGCTCCACGTTAAGTCACAGATACTGGGGCTAGCTCCCTCATGCACTGAACAACTGAAACGTTTTATCATTTCTCTGCTCAGTGCACTATCTATAGGCCGAAGATGACTTGCTGTTTTCTAATTGGCATTCAGCTACAATACATTTTAAAAGATATGCAAATATGCAAACGGTTACCTGCTTTTAGAATAAATGGGAGCAATGTGTGAAAGACTTTTGGAGGGACAGCATAAGAGATTAGCATCCTTTTTTTTAAAAAAAACCTTATATTAGCAATGAATCAGATCTTGATGAAATATGTGGGTCACTGACTTTATAGCTGTTCTTGCTCTTTGGCTTTTACTTAGAAGTAAAAGAAAAGTTTCTCAGGCATCCATTAGAGAACCTTTGATATGTGCTGGTAGAAGCTTGCCACCTAGTGGACATCAAGAATGAAAGGGGATATAGAAAGGGAAAGCAGGGGGCTGGGAAGGTGGCTCAGTGGTAGAGCGCTTGCCTTGCATGCCTCACGCCCTGGGTTCGATTCCTCAGCACCACATAAGCAAAAAGAAATAAAGCCGGAAGTGGAGCTGTGGCTCAAGTGTTAGAACGCTAGCCTTGAGCTGAAGAGCTGAGGGACAGTGCCCAGGCCCAGAATTCAGGCCCTACGACTGTTGTAACCCCCCCCCCCCCCCCAAAAAAAGGAAGGGAAAGCAGGGGGTTTGAGCCAGAAAGTTTTGCAGAGATCTTTAGTTCTATCACTAATTTTAGATGAGGAGGAAAAAAAAGAAAAGAGACTTGTAGTCTTCTATTTGGAACTGGTAGAGCAATGAAAGGATCAAAAAGGTGGCCTCTCTGAATTTTTTTTTTAAGGACTCCATAGCAAGCCACTTGAGATAAAATGTGAAAGCCGAATTCATTATTAAGAGAAGTCAGAGACTGAAGCAGACTTAGTTCTGAGTCTAGAATAGCAGTTGGTTGGCTGGCTCCAGTTACTGAGATTTGGGTTCTAATTCCAGCTCTGATCTAACTTGCTGCCTGGCTGTAGGCAAATCTCAGATCTTGTCTCAGCTGCTGCTGCTAGCTGCTGCTACTCTGTGTGTGTGTGTGTGTGTGTGCGTGTGTGTGTGCGTGTGTGTGTGTGTAGAAGGAAAGAGAGAGGGAAAGAGCGAGCAAGCGAGAGGAAGATACAGAGAGAAAGAGAGAGAAAGGAAGAAAGAAAGAAAGAAAAGAAAGAAAGAAGGAAGGAAGGAAGGAAGGAAGGAAGGAAGGAAGGGAAGGAAGGAAGGAAGGAAGGAAGGAAGGAAGGAAGGAAGGAAGGAAGGAAGGAAGGAAGGGAAGGAAGGAAGGAAGGAGGGAAGGAAAGGAAGGAAGGAAGGAAGGAAGGAAGAAAGAAAGAAAGAACGGAGAAAGAATTTTACCCAGGGTGGGAAAGGAGAATATTAAGGAAGAAACTAGAACTGTATATCCTATGAAGTTCAGTCTTGCTCAAGTACTCTACAATTCAAAGACTATACCATTTGGCATCCCTTGCCTGCTAATTGAAATGTGGAAACAGAAGAGGTTTTGCTACAGTGGCTCATTGATAACCAGGCCTGAAGAACAGAGTAGAAGGAGAGTAAATGCATTGCTCCAGACCGTGCAAATATGCTGATTTCAGAGTAGAACCACCTTGTGTGATTCTTTGAAGAACCGAAGCAAATTGCTAGGGAGGTTCCTGTGGAGACATTTCTCTGTTGGTGGCCTCTCTTATTGCCAGGATTTAGAGAGGTTGTTAGGCTGTGTGAGGGTCAAATAATTTAGCCTTGTATTCCCCCTAAACCATCTTGCCTAAAACACCCAGGTAATATATTTATGGGTCTTAAAAGATTGTTATTAAAGTGTCTAGGTGTTTAATTTTGTAGTTTGTCAGAGCTTGGTATATAGCTTAATAGTAGAGTAGATGCTTGGCAAGTGCAAGACCTTGGGTTCAATCTTCACTAACCCCAATCCCTTACATTATATAATTCTCTAGTCTGTTAGATTATAAAGTTATAGGTTTAAAAAAAAAGCACTAGGAGAGTATCTGAATGTTTACCTCAATTCTTGTGTGTGTGAGAGAGAAAGAGAGAGGGAAACAGAAAAAAGAGGGAAAGAGACAGAGAGAAAATAGAATGAAGTATCACTTAGTATTGCTAAAAATTCAATGACCTCAGCTTTAAAAAAAACCAACTTAATAACATCTCATCAAATCTAAGATTATTCTCAAAAACATTGAGCTGGTCACCTTGACTTGGAGGCTGAGATTTGAGGATCATGATTCAAAACCAGCCCGGATGGGAAAATATGTGAGATTCTTATCTCCAATGAACTACCCCCAAAGTTGTAAGTGGAGTTGTGATTCAAGTAGTAGAATATCAGCCTGGAATGGCAAAAGCCTAGGCATAACACCCACTCCCTGAGTTCCAGCTCCAGGACTGGCACACAAAAAGTTAACAACAAAACACTTTTTTGTGTGTGTCACTTGTGGAGCTTGAACTCAGGGCCTGGGCGCTGTTCTTGAGCTTCTTTGTGCTCAAGGTTAACACTCTACCACTTGAGCCACAGTGCCACTTATGGTTTTTGGGTGGTTAATTGGAGATAAGAATCTCACGTGGACTTCATGTCCAGTTTGGCTTTGAACCGGGATCCTCAGATCTCAGCCTCTTGAGTAGCTAGGATTACAGGCATGAGCCGCCACTTCCCAGCTCCAAAACATTCTTTCAATGGGACTGAGGGAAAATATTATAGGTTCAAGACTGGGGGGGGATTTATTTTTAAATAAACTTGAAAAATATCTAGACTCTAAGATAGTTATTGTGTCTGTTTGAATGGATTAATGATGAAGCTAAATACTGTGAAGTTCTTGTAAGAGGAATTGGGAGAATTTGTGAATTGGTTTAAAAATTCTAAAGAGTAAACAAGCTCACACTGATGTTCCCTTTTAGGGAGTTGTTTGGTTGCTTCAGTGAGAAGATATATAGGTAAGTAGGTAGGTAGGTAAATAGATAGGTAGATAAGTGGGCGGTTGGAAGGAAAGAAGAGTGGATGGATAGGTAGATGATTGATGATATACAGATGATAAGTAGATTGACACATAGCATACTTGAAGGTTTTTGTTTTTCCGATTTATTTTATAAAAGCAGAATTGGCCAGATTCCCAAAGTCTGAGAAATCCTTTGGCATGTGGTTGGCACGTTTTTCTTACCTTAAAGTAAAAATCCAGTGCGAGATAGAAATGTTAGATATGTGGCAGAACTGTCATTTGAAGCATTGTGAATGAAAAGAAAAATTGCACTTCTACATTATAAGACAACTGATGTTTTCTTCTCCATAGGTCTTTGGTTTTGATAATTCCACTGACCTACAACTAACTTCTCCTCTTGCCTTTGAAAATGGTATAGATCTCTGGTAAACAATGGATAAGCTTTCCATATTGTGACTATGGCTTTGTGTTTTATCTGATTAAACCTAGGCAATATCTCTTCCTTCATCCTTCATCCTTCCTCACACACACACACACACACACACACACACACACACACACACACACACACACACACACACACATTTACCTGGCTTGAATATTACCTTTTTAGGACACAGATTGTTCTTCCCAGCAGAGCTGTTATAATACTGGATTTCCCCCCTCAAAAGTATCTGATTACCTGTTATTATACCTCCTGAAGATAATTTCACTCAAAAAACTTGTATCTGATGTTTACTGTGTACCGGGTATTTTTCCAATCATCTTTTACATAAAATCTGAGGTCATCCTCATTTAAGGTCCTTTTTTTTTGCTGGTTTTGAGATTTGAACTAAGGGCCTGGACACTGCCACTGGGCTTCTTTGTGCTCAAGGCTAGCACTTCCTGAGACACAGTGCCATTTGCAGCTTTTTCTGTATAGTTTGTTGGAGATAAGAGTCTCACAGACTTTCCTGCCAGGCTGGCTTTGAACTGTGATCCTCATATCTCAGCCTCCTGAGTAGCTACTAGCAGCTGGCTTTAAAGTCCCTCTTTTATAAGCACAGAAAAATTAGGTGACTTCCTCAAGCCATAGTTAGGACAGTGGAGAAAATCTGGCTCTGATGTTTGTGCTCCAATGACTGCATATTTCTTTGGAGTCTAGTGTAGTTTGACTAGTCACCTAAATGACAGCTGTCCAAATTGACTGTGATGGAGAGACATTTTTCATTCTTTAAACAAAATCTACTCTTCACATTCTGACATTAAGTGCCTTACCATGTAAATGAAGGTTAAATCAGAGTATTCAAAACTTTTCAGAATAAATAATTGAAGAAATAAAATAAAAACAGACTAGAAAGTAGCATTCTTTTTTTCTTTCTTTCTTTCTTTTTTTTTTTTGGGTCTGGCCGTGGGGCCTGAACTCTGGGCCTGGGCGCTGTCCCTCAGCTCTTCAGCTCAAGGCTAGC